TGTTTTTAACATATATTTAGATTATGATGCTTTTTTACTTGAACTTAAGTAAAGTGTTGAACTTTTACTTATAACTGCGTAGTACAAATACTTTCACCACTGCCACTGTTAAAAATGTGAAAACAATATTCACAAGTATTTGTTAAATTGCGCTTTTGAAGGAATTATTATGTTAGTCAATGACTTGTAGATAAAAGTTACAAAAACGTTAAAACGTAAGCAACTGTAACCACTGTAACTAAGTACAGTTGAGTATTTTTTGAGGTACAATTATTTTACTGCATAAGTTACCCTGCAGTTTCAGAAGTAACTTCACTTTTACCAGCTGCAGCATTAATGGTGCTCAAACGTTAATGCATTAATATTCATGTTCCAGTTATGTTTAGCTCAAAATAGCTAAATAAGCCCTTTTACTTTTGGCACTTTACGTTGTTTTTTTTTATTAGCTTAGCCTATGCCTTAACTTGTAATACTTTGAATGTATGTCCGTTGTGTTTACACTTTCATGTTTGGCTACACTATTTACAAAAGGTTTTGAATCCAACTTGTAAAAGAGGCACCAATATCTATTTTGTAATCAAGCAGCATTAAATCTACATCTGCTGCTCCACTGACACACACACACACACACACATGCAAGACACACATGCACGCACACGCACACACGCACGCACACACACACACACAAAGAGGAGCTCAATTCAAAGTGAAAGAGGAGTGATATCCTTTCAGCAGTGTGGTGAATGTTTCACTGGTCTGACAATCCCCTCAAAGTGCAAACACACACACAGATTCCACTGGCTGTGTGTGATCAGATGGAGTTGAGAGAGCAGCAGGCGAGAGACGTTGGACTCAGAAGAAATGTGTAAAATGTCTTATCAGAATGATAAGAAAACAGAAGATATGCTGTTCTATTTTTAGACAAGTGGCATGTCATTGGTGTCTAAGTCAAAGTCTAGTTGAATGTATACTTTTTTTAATGTTGTTTAGCCTCAAAATGTCACAAATGACAAGTCATTTTCTCCCTACAACTCTGGCATCTATTATATTTTAAGATAAGACACTTTAATAATCCAGAGGAGAGAGACGTGGTGTTATCAGTTCTGCTTGATTAGCAATATTTTTAATTGATTACGATTTAAAATGCAGGGCTTTTACTTGTAAAAGTCCTTTCTACATTATATGACTGTATATTTAAGTAAAAGTTCGGAGTAGCCTACTTCTCCCATCACTGCTTGAGTTTATTCTTAAGTACTATAGCCTACTAAATATATACATGTACAGTATATACAAATAAGCACAAAATAAGAATAGAGCCACTCAATACAAAAAAACACAATGCACACATTATATCCTTCAAAACACTGGGACACAAATCATTACATCTTTGGTAACTTCTAAATAAAGACAACATGTCACCTGAGGAATTTAAAGTGAGGTAGTTTGAACATGAAGTCATTGCTCTTGTATTCGTGTGTGAAGTCACGCCAGTGGGGCTGTCAGTAGTGAAGGAAGCACTCAATGATAGTAGATAAAATACAGTGACATTTGCATTATAACTCATAATGAGCTTAAAATGTTTTTGCATGGGAAGCTTATCTTTAGTTCAATGTTTTCAGATACATGTGTAGGAACGGTCAATGTTCAAGGCTGCAATGAAAGTGTGTCAAGACAGAATAACAACAGCCGTTGGTGTGTAGGACATATCTGGCACGTACTGTGGCACTTTCTCATTGATCGAATTCCCCTCCTCGACTCCTATCCTCGTGTCTTAGTCCCGCCCACAGGAGATGCGTTTCTGACTATGGTTTCTGCACGGACCTCACAGCTGTTCTCACTGTAAACATTGCGTCGCGATTCAAGCGATAAAATAATATCCAGGGGATGCATGCAGAGCTGTCATTGGCTGAGATATGTCCGGCCGTGCGTCGCGAATCTTTTAAACATCACTGTTGCCGGAAATACATCCGCGGAGGACCCATCAGTGTATCCTCGACCATAGCTCCTCCAGAGTTAGTGAAATGAAAAAGGCCCTGTGTGTGTGTGTGTGTGTGTGTGTTGGGGATACACATGAGGAAGTGAAACAGGAAACCTGAGCATCTGATTGGCTGTCGGGACACACAGTTCCATAGCTGCTTCAGAGACGTCGTGTGCAAGAGAAGTCTTCTTTCTTTTCCTTCCTGTCTTCACCCTCCAATGAACACAAAAATGCAGCAGTGTGTTACGTCCCAACATGTACTATGATTCAGGAGCTGCCCAACTGCATTCTCATTACCAACACTAAATAACCTGTTGCTTTTGCATAGACTTTGTTGGAGTTATTGATAAGGAATGACGCAAAGCAGCTAATCCTGAGGCTGAATGTAGAGTGAATTACTCCTCAAAGACAACATGTAACATGGATAAAGCACTAATAGGCCTACGTACTTATTATAAGCTTTGAGAAAGCTACGCAGTTGGGTCATTCCTAGCATTCGGTGCCATTTCAACTAGGGTGTTCAAAAATAAAAAACAATTTTCCATGTTTTTGTTTTATCTAATCTGAATGATGGCTTGTTAAAGTATAAGAACAATATTTTGGTCAAGCTCAGGATATTATGCTTACATTTTTTTTTTTTCTGTGTCCACCCCGTTACCGGGAGAAATAGTAACAGGGTGGACATTTTATGCTAAACTTGGCTATTGCTACATGTCTGATGATAATCAAGCTAGCACTTGGTGACAACAGAAACATATATTTGATAGATATATACACCATATTTTCTAAATGTAACACAAATGATCAGTTCCACTAAAAATGAGCATAACAGGGTGGACATTTTATGCTTTACCGTAACAGTTAAGTTCTTTAAAACATTAAAAAAAAACGTTGAAGGAAGAATGCATTCACTCTGCTTCTTGAAGATGATTTCCCACTCAAAATGTATCCTTCTTGAGTCACACAAATAGTAGAATATTAAAGGGGCGTGTCCAGAGGGATTCAAATCAGAGTAACAGGGGGGAAATTCAAACAGGGGACACACACTTTATTTTCAATAAAAATGAATTAATAACAGCAATTTCAATTTGGTGAGGAATATTAGCAAAAGGGTCATACAATACTCACAAAAATGTAGAATTTGTTTGTATTTCTTTGATTTCTTTTTGTATATCTGTTACAGAAGTTGAGCAAACATGATTGGGGACACAGCAATTTGGCCTACTTGTGCTAAAATCAGAGTAATTATTTAGAATGTTGAATATCCTGGCTAAATAACATTGTTGTTTTATGGTAGAGGGTATGCAAATTTAAAACCAGGCTTTTAAAAAATAAGCATTAGACCTTTTAAATACAAAATATATGATATAATGTGGTGGGGACCTAAATGGGACCGAATTCTAGGAATGACCCAGTTCTGTTTGGAGGTGTTTCTCTTTTCTGTTTCACAGATAAAAGGAAGAATAACGTTCTACTCAGGGTTATTAATAACCACGAACTCTAGAAGGAACAAAAATGTTTCAAATACCAAAGCTAAACATCTCTTGTTCCTACTCCATGTATGATCTAAGCAATATGTTTCAGAGTGAAGGAGTCCATTTCCTGTAGTAGTCTGGATCTGGCCTTGTGTTGATGTGGAAAAACTCACCGAGACGCTGATAAAGAAACACCTGATCAGCATGCAAACACACACTATTCCATATACTGAAAGAAAGAAGATAAGCAACGGCAAAATGTTCCTCTATACGTCCTGCACTAAAGATAATATGCTTAAAAGGAACACACATAATTATAATTCCGTACATGTGGGAACCTTTATTTTTAATACAGTAACCCTATTCTCTTGCCCTTAAAGTGAACCTAAAACTATATGAAGGAAGTGAGGACTGGACAAAATGTCCTCCATTAAAAAAAAGAAAAAGGTCTTAAAAATGTTGTCACTTTTCCACAGTGTGTCCACTTTTAATAACTTTCTTAAAAGTCTCCTCACTTTCCTCACTTTACTTTTCAGAAAATGTTTTCTGTCTGAAATGTTTTAAACTCAAACTGGTCCAAACAAGTACAGAGAAAACAGGACGTGCACAGAGTTGAGTTCTAGTTCCTGGTTTTATCTAGTCTCACTCGTGTAAGGGTTAAAGTTTACTGCTCTCTTCTCCCTGCTCACACTTTGTATGTGTTGTTCAAATCATGTGAATGAGGATTCTGACACATAAAACTATAAAACAAAACATGACTTCCACTTACTAGGTGAACATCTTCTGACTTTATGACTTGCTATTGAGTCACATCGTGAGGAGCTTTAATAACTCTTATATTTCACTCTGTTTATTTTCAAGTTAAAGATAAACTTCCGCACTGAGGAGAGCAGTGGAGCAGTGAACTGGTTTATCATCAATGTTAGTGAAGAAAAAAGGACTCTGACACCCCCTGCTGGTCATCCCTGTACTTTAAAATATCCTTCAGAGGAGCAACAACTGTCCTGACGTCTGGTGAACATCTGACCACAAATCAGTGTGAGGCTTTTAGTATCAGAGATTCCAAAGATGTGCTTAAAGATGTGTAAAACATTTCTATTTGAGGAAATGTGTCATATCATTTGTGTTAATGTCATTTAGATTCAAGGTAAAGCTTGACGATCATGGCACAGTTTGATACGGTCACAAAGAGGTGGTATAAAAATGACTTTTCCTAAGTGTATAACCTGCTTAGAATGCAAATAAAAGAAGTTAGGGATCAAACAGCCATCCATAGAGTGGAGATCTCCATACTTAGCAAGCCGACCCCCCCCCCGTTATTCCTGCTAATAATAATAATAATAAAAACTGATTATTAAACACAACAAAATTGAAGATTAGTGATTTTTATGTTTAAAGAGTTTCCTAATGTCACATCCAACTGTAGAAAAATGTTTCCACCGTTGTTATGTGGGACAGTGAAGAAAAAAACTTTAAAATAATTGTAATAGTGATTAAAATCACTAATATATGATGAAACCGATTCACAGTGAGAAGCAGAGCGTGTGTCCCTCATGGAGCTACAACTAAAAACAGCTTTTATTATTTTTTATTCTTACCAGTATTTACTACATGAATAGTTTTTGACTATAAATATCAGAAAGCATGGAAAACACCCATCCTAGGTTCTAAAAGCCCAAGCTGTTGTCAGTCTACAACCCAACAGAAAAACAGGATATCTCCACATTTGAGATGGCAATTCTTGCTTGAAAAACCATCGTTACGTTTTTTTTGTCAAACGACTAATAGATAAGTCAGGTAAGTTGCAGCTCTAACCTCTCATGCTCACAATATTATTTAAAGGCTTTCAAGAGAAACATTTATTTTAAAATCCAACACTCTTCTTTTTTATATCATTACTTACTTTACATGTTCAATTCTAGTTGAGCCCTGCAGCAGTGATAAGTCCTCTGTGGAGCAGATGATGAATCACAGTGGCTCTCTCAAAGTCCTGTAATGTCTGAATAAATCTGTAATAAACACTTAACTGTCTTAATGTCACAAAGCCGTTGCTTAAATAGATGCAGTGGATGAAACCACGTCTGAAAGCTTCATCGTATCAGTCCAGCCTCCTGTTCTTTTTCCGACCCCTCTGTGTCACTCCTCTTTTTCTTCTCCTCTTCCTCCTCCTGTTTCATCCTCTCCTGCTCTTTCTCTAGCTCCTCCTGTTCTCTGGCGTCTGCCTTCGTCAGTTTCTCCTCCACCTCTTCAGGAATGTCCACCTCCAACAGGTTCTCCATCCCCGGCTCTGGCTCGTCTCCTATCAGCACCTGCAGAGAGGGAGACAGAGGGGAGATCATGAGACACGGGCATACAGAACCAGAACACTTTAATATCCCGGGGGGAAAGAGGGCTTTGGTACAGTTGCTCCTCTATGATACAAATATTCACATAAACAAAATAAAAGTAATAATGTGCAATAAAAGATCAAATAAAATAGAATAACAAAATGTATATAACAATAAGAAATACAATTATATATGTGCAATCAAAGAATAACATAAAATGGAATAACAATATATTATATAAAAATAACAAATTAAAATATGAATGTCCAATAAAAGGATAAAATAAGATAAACATGTTGAACGCAAAAAGGGAAAGTAAAAAAGTGCACATTGTACAAAATACAACAATAAATATTTAACAATGTGTGTATTATATGTAGTGGTGTGCCAGTATAAAATATATACTTATACTTAGTTAAAAAGTATATATATATATATATATTTTTTTAACTGTCACAAACTTAAGTAATGGGAGGGCTATCTCTGTATAAGTTATGCTTTCTGTCCTCCAGCTTCTATTCATTTTGTTTGTTTTTCGGATGTATAACCTGTCTAATTGTTGAAATAGTAAAAAAAATAATAAAAAAATGTAATTTACACCAGGATAAATTTGTATTTTGACTCTTATTCAAAAGAGATTACAAAAAACACAATAGCCAATTCAGAATGAGGTACACCTAGGTAATGCAGTGTAATCCACCACTTTTAAGAATACCTCTTTAACTCACGAGAGTTTGAGGGGAAACTGATTTAGAGAGATGTTGATTTAATTTTCCGGTCATTAAAAAAATTAAGTTCTCACTGCTGTTGAATACAGCTTTTAATAGCAGGCATTTACACTTGTCATAGAAGGGAAAGCAGGGGAGGATCGAGGGATACAAAAAATCTAATTTGGGTGCCAACTTTTTCTAAATAAAGGACATAGAGAAACATTTCAAGAGATTATTCGTTACATGGCATTTTGTATTCTCGTTAATGTATTTGATATTAAAACAAGATGATTAACTCTTTCCTACCTCCACAAGTTTCTCACAGGCCGCTGTAACGTGGACATCCGTCTCCCATTTGTGGAACTCCCTCATGATGGGATAAACGCTCTTCTTCTCGAATATGTCCCGGCCCGCTTTGGTCGCTGTCAGCTGTAAAAGAGAAGAACAGTGAAACACCAAACATAAAAACATGAGTCTATGTGTACTGTTGTCTTTGTCGTGTTGTACCAGTAGAAGAGTCTCCAGCAGCATCTTCCTGATGTCGGGGTCTTCTTCTCTCTTCTTGTCCTCGGGGAGGTACTGCAGGTCCACAGGCAGACCTGAACATCACAACACCTCTGTTAAAGTCAGTGAGTCTCAAACTGTCTCACCTGCCTGCTCACTCAGCCCCAAGCCCATTGGTGCAAACTGAACACACAACATGGTAATAGACATTCACAAATATATATCTTTTTAGTTTTAAAAAAAAGGGCTCAGTGGTTTAAGAAATGCAGCAACTTTGCACACTTGTCTAATGTAGATATCATTGTTATTCACGTTAACATTGTAGCTGTAGTAGCATATTAAAAAGTGTATTCAAATTTTTATTTTGTTGTGTATTCTAGACTTTATAGAAATACATTATTGTAATGTTGATATGTACAGTATATATTTTTTGTGTATTTTGTTTTCACTTCTATGCCGTGATAACTTGCTGTTGTAAAACAAGAGTTTTCAACTTTAGGGTCCATCCATCAACCCTTTGTAAACTTTAGTAAGCGTAACTCTAACAGCTTGAAATACTGCGTTTGTCTGGGACTATTTTCACTGGCGGATTAATCCCCAATAGTAAGTAATTGGGACAGCACAAAACAGTGTTAAACATGATTTTTATTTTTTTATTTGGACAACATTGAGCTCTATGGCACAACGGAAGAACATATATATGGATTTAGATCAGGGGTCTCCAACACTTCGATCGCGAGCTACCGGTAGCTCGCAAGCCCTCAATAAGTAGCTCGCCAAGCAAATCCAAAATGTAAAAATTACAACAAAAAAAAAAAGGAAATGTAATTAAAAGAATCTACCCTATGCATAAACGAAACATCAATCATAGTGAACTCTATCTACTTATTACAACTCTATATATCTAACGCCCCTCCTCCCCCCACCCCCACAATGAATATCGACCAATCACATTCTTGCTTGATTTGCGGGACCAGCGTTGCAGTCGGGAAGAAAAGCAATGTGGAGCGGCAGCTCACCGCTTCATAAGGAGTTTGACCTTTCCTTCTGGCAGAATCAACACATCAGCCCCATTGAGCAGCCTAGTCGTGCCAGCCTATACAACACATGAGGGGCAGAGTTTGACTGTGTGTGTGTTGCAACTTGCATATATATTTATTGCATTTGACGCACACACACGCATGGTGTAATATCCACTGGGGATAGGGGGGACATGTCCCTCACACTTTTCGAAATCCCACTTGTGTCCCCCCACTTTACAAATATGTTTATTATAATTTTTTAACGCAAGCCGTCATCGCCACGGAGGAGCACACAGCCTCTGTGAGCGAGTGAGACAGAAAGAGAGAGAGCGAGAGAGCACACCTTTATCTATTTGATATAGTTGTAAAAAATAAAGTAAGAAATCATTCCAATGTCTACTATAGGACAGTAAAAAGAAGAAACAGTTTAAAAAGGGGAGTGATTAGTAAAATATGCATAAATGAAAAGAAAGAATGCTAACTAAACATAAGAATAAACAAGTTTAAATGATTTGTTATTGGTTGTGATCATATTCTAAAGATTTTTGAAAGTAGCTCTCATCCTAAAAAAGGTTGGAGACCC